CTATCGTCTATATCCAGACCAAATTTCATCAAAATCCATCCAGCCGTTCAGCTACAAACTCTAACAAACATCCATCCATCTAAACTTTTGCATTTATAATATTGAAATGATAGATGAGAAAGGAAAGTGGATTTGACGATGTAGGAGACGCAAAGAGTAAGTATCATCTTTATGCGTCTTCTCCGCATCGATTAAGGGTAGGCAACATCTAAATTAAGGATCTCTATAGACAGCGATCACTTAGCTTTTTTGCCATCTTTCATATAAAAAAAAATAATTCCTTATTAATACTATTTTTTCTTTTTACTAGATGAAACAAAAGTTATTCAGAAGAAACCGTTGTTACGCTGGCTTCAGAATGGTAAATATACGGATTATTCCCAACCGTCACCCCACGTAGTACCCACGTAGACCCCACGTGAGTATAAAAAGTTTCACCCGTCCCACCTTTTAGTCCCACTACCAATCAGGTGACAGATAGAACCGTTATGTAATAAAATAAGTTCCAACCGTCCCTCGTCGCAAAAGGTGGGACGGATGAAACGTTTTATTCTCATCTGTCTCCACGTGGGGACAGAGCGGGGTAACAGTTGGGAAAAATCTAAATATATCTTATTACTATTTTTTTCTGTAAATTTAACTGTTTAATGTTGTTGCAGAAGATTTACCAATGGAATCCGAGATGTCGTGCGAACAAGGTAATTTTTTTAGCTGCATTAAAAAAAATAAAAACAATCGTTGATCTTAATTGAAATAATTTTTAATTTAATGTCCATAATTTTATCTATATCCATACTATTAGAAAGAGGGAAGATTTGTATTTTTGTACGTATTGAAATAACTCAAAAACTACTGGGACGATTTAAAAAAATCTTTCACTATTAAAAAGCTACGTTATCACTAAGTAACAGATTTTAGTCGATTGCTATAGTTACAAAGTCGCGAGCAAAAGTTAGTTTATTATAATGGTGAAAGAATTTTTGAAATCGTCCCAGTAGTTTTTGAGTTATTTCAATACATACAGAAATCCAAAAATACAAATCTTTCCTCTTTACAATATCAGTATAGATTCAATAGTAAGAATAGTGTGCATTGTGTATTTTTTACCAAAACATGTACTTTTTCCAGTTAACTATATTCCCGCACAAACTCCACTCGTACAAGAACCATCTCCTGTGGAACAGAAGCCTTTCCAAGTGAGTTGAAATACTTTTACAAAGTGACTTTGTGCACTTTTGTTTGACACTACAACTAGAGTTAAGTATTTTTTTCCCTGTCATTTTTAAACGGTAACGTTTCATACGGTAAAATTCCAATTCTGTATTGTTATGCCTTATTTGCTCGTTTGAAATTAAAAAGAAATAAAAAAAAAACATAGCCTATGTCACTCACAGAATTTTTGAAATCGTCCCAGTAGTTTTTGAGTTATTTCAATTCATAAAAAATAAAAATCTTTTCTCTTTAAAGATTAAATCACTGTTACTTGCTAATGCTTTATGAGACTTTAAGATCGGAAATAAATATGTCAAAAAAATTACTGGCGACAAGTACTGGCATGCCAGTAAAAGTTCACACATGCCAGTAACTAGCACCAGTTGATAAGCCTAATTGTACTGTTGAAGATTATCATGCGATAATCTTTTACAAAATAGAAACATTATTTCTTCCAGCCGTGGCCGACGGACTTGCCGCCCATGCTGGGCCCGAGCCCTCACCAGCAGTACCCTGTTCAGGATATGTCCTGGATGGACAGGAGCTACGTCCAGCTCGACCAGCACTTGCAGCTGCCTGCCGTGGGAATAGACTACTCTGTGACGTCACAGGGGCAGACCTTCCTGGCGAGGAACACAAACCCATTTGCGTGTCACTTTCAGCCATATGTCTACGGTACGGATAATAGAGTAAGTGGTTAGGAGAATATCACACATTACGAAATTATTTGCTTGTAAAAACTTTTCTTAAAAACAATACACTAAAAAGTAACGAAATAATTCCTTGAAAATAGTAAACCTACCTTATTGTAACTGTTATGTCTGTATTGTACAGTTATTATTACTTTGATGTCGGTGTCAGCCAAGGTATGCAGTGATATTTCTACGTAAGGGTTTCCACATTTTTACCATAACAATTGACAATTGAAAGTATAGTAACAATTAAGTAATGAATCTACATTGACTGACACCGACTTCAAAGTAAAAATAATTGTACAACATAGACATAACAGTTACAATAAGGAAGGTTTACTTTTTTATTAAGGTATTATTTCGTTACTTTTTAGTGTACTGGTTTTTTTTTGGAGAATATTTTGTTTTTAGTGTATTTTGTTTGGAAGACGGTTTTTTAATAAAAAAAATTATTTATTACAATAATTATAATATTACTATACATATTTTAGTATTTTTTTTTTGAAAACATGTTTTGTTTCAGTCAGAATGTAATTCCGTTTCACCTCATTTCGCGCCCTCCCCCGATTTAAACACGGGGCAAGACGAAGAGATGAGTTTGGAAAAATTCTCTGGTCTATTGGAGGAACAGATCAGTGATCATTTGAACGAACTTTCATTGAAAGATTTAGTTGGAGGCGAGTTGCCGAAGATTTAGTGCAGTATTATTGTTCATTGGACAGAAAGAAACACCACCGAAAAGCCGAATACATTATTGCTAAAATAGAATAATTTAACCATGGGTACACACACACAGAAATATATGAATCTATTTTATAAATGTACAGTGGAAGAGCCCGCTAGAACATCTTCGCACTGCAGGGTCGGCTCGCACCCAGCAAGACCACGACTACACAGAAGACAGGCGTGAAGTGGGAACAATCCCGCATTTTGTCTGATGAGTGTGGTACCGGAAGCCCATCTTTAGTCCTTTTTCTTTCCCAACATTCTTCTTATAAGAAAAGATAACGCATAGGAAGGGAAAACATCCTCTTTATTTGCGTCTCCTACTCCGTCAATCAAGGGTAGCAACGCATCCGCTATTGCGAATGTCTATGGTCAGCGGTCACATCATTTTGGCGGATTCAAGTGACCGCTTGCTCGTTTTTAATATAAAAAATGTACAGCCTAACAAATAAACGCGGTATACAGTTAAAGTTAGGTATAAACTAGGTATAAGCAAAATTTGTACTAATATTTGCTTATACTCATTGACCGACTTCCCAAAAGAAGGAGGTACTCAATTAGTCTGTATGTTTTTTTAATCCTAAGTTTAACTATATACCGCGTTTTTAGTTTTATACAAAGAGCGGGCTCGTGCAGTGCAATGTGTACCCACGGTTGTGCTTAAATTTAGTTGTAAACTTTGTTGATATTTTTAAAATTGATGCATTTCAAATTACAACTTAAACTTTGTAATTATATTATCGTTGTGACGTTTATTTTCAAAGTTTTGGTTTAGATTTGAAAAAGCATAATGAACACACTTGGCCAGTAGCGCTTCGAGCGCACACTCTTTACTAAAACTTCGTAAAATTGTTGTAGGATTGTCAACTGTTTTGTTACACAACTAAAAATCCAAGGGAGGAAACAGTTGTGCGATAGTTTAGTCAAAGAAGTGCGCATCTTAGTGATCACATTATGCCAGTTAAATACTATTCCAGTGATGGAACGCTACTGTCCTGTGAATCAGGTGTAACTCTGAAATTTGTGTTCAATTACGTTTAAGTTATTTTATTACCTCACTTTTATTTGTTTTTCAGTTTACGGGTATTTTTATACATTATATATTTATTTGTTGCCAAAGAATGTTATGTTTAAATAATTATGTAATTTCTATACACATATTGTTATTTATACAAAGAGATTTAAAAAAATATATAGAGGCATAGTAAACAATATTTTTTCACCGGTACTTCCTCTGAAAGGTTACTACATTTGTCAACTTTAGTGCCACCTCGTGTCCTTGTAATGACATGTATTAAAAATTTAACAAAATTATAATAAGCACCATCTATTGTTAAAAAATAAACTAAGATTACAAAATCAAATATAAACGTTATTATTTAGTGACATCTATTGGCAACTAATTTGAATAAAATTCTAATGTCGCGTAGTTTTGAAATTTTAATAACAGATGGCGTTAGTGAGATTTTTCTATAAAAATGGTTCTATAACCATACCCTCTTTATATTTTTTAAATCTCTTCGATTGTATATATAAGTAACCAACTAAAAATCTAAGCTCGGTTGTAATTATAAATATTGATAATAAAATTACATTATTGTTACGAATTAGTTTTATTTAAACCTAGATACAAAAATTTCTTTGTGTTCGTTAGACGTGTTGAGGGTAGAAATAAAACAGCCATAATTGCCTACATATTTTTATTCATCGAATAAATTACAAAAAACAATCGCAGGCATTAAATCGCATATTAATCATTTCCATTGAAAGAATCCTATAAAACTTATTGTATCAGATAGGGGGCGCCAAACGCAACAGAAATATGAACGCACTTGTTACGAGGTTCAACGAAACTGTTTAAACAAGCAATCCACCTGATTTTACTCGAATATGTAACAAAAATAAAATAAACGTGTCTATTGCAGCTTCCTATCAGTAAAAACAATACCTTTTTTAGAGAGAGAACCAGAGTGTTCACAGTTTTATGTAAATTCTCTTTCAACTCGGCTCCTTTTAGTGCTAGCGTGATAGCCTATAACATTAGTAATCGAGCTATCAATTGCAAAAAGATTTTTTTAAATCCGATTCAAAGTTTCTGAGATAAGTGCGTTCAAATCCTTCAGCTTCAAGTATCTTAAGACATTACATTCGCTTAGTTTCGTTTACCTCGTGTCGGGGACTCTGAGAGCAAAAGCACACTGGAATGGTCCACTAGAACCTACACTAAGCACAACACAACATACTAAAAAGCCACGCTCTAGCATTTTTCCTGTCAAAACTTGCAAACTTTAAACTCTTCAAACGTCGCTACACAATTTAGTTTTTATGATTTCATTGTACTATTATGGGAATAAAAAGAAATCAGCACTGTGTTGAGATCTCGACTTAAATTCATACAATTAATGTATTCCATATGAAAGTTGATAACTAAAATTGAAATTAAAAGTAATGTAGAAACGACATAATATAACAAAGATGTGTTGCTAACTCATACTGCATGTTGTTGCCAGCCCGGCTCTCGTATTCATCTATAACAAAACAAATATATCATTCCATAAGCATACAAAACTATATAGAATTCAAGAATTACATTATTTCTTCTGATAATCTGACAGCGTGTAATAATCTATGACCTGTGATAATCTTTGACAGCAAATAATCTATGACAGATGTTTATAATCTATGAATGTTTCTTAAGAATTTAGTTTCATTTACAGGTTTGACAATCTAAGTAATATTATAAATAAAGTTTAGATGGATGGATGTTTGGAGTTTGTAATAAATAATCTATGACATGTGATAATCATTGACAGCAAATATTCTATGACAGACGTTTATAGTCTATCATTTACAGGTTTGACAATTTTTATCTATACAATTATAATAAAGCGTAAACACACACTTCTTTGTTGCCTAAGATGTCAGCAATTACACCATATTTTTGAATAATCCTTTTTTAATAAAAGCCCTACACTTACGTATGCTTTAGACTATATATTTTCACGCCATTAAACTTTGGGGGTAAATATTTTTGAAAACCCTAATGTGGGAAAGATACCATAAGATGCTGCCAACATCAAGAAAACAAGATTGCAAAGGTAAGTCATGTCATGTCATTTTGACATTTGCTATGGATAATTTGACAAATGTAAACAATAAAATAATTCGATGCGGATGAAGCCGCACG